CCCCCGCCTCCCCTCCGCCGCCCCCGGCCTCTGCGCGTTTGCCTCTCCTCAGCCGTGGGACGGTCCCGAGCACGGGGCTCCTGCGGCAGATGTGCTCGGAGAAGGACGAGCGGCCAGGACCCGCCGTATCAGGTTGCTGAGGAGCACAGCTGGGAGAAAGCGGCCGAAACGCCGCTCCAGAAGTGTTTGGGAAAAGCAGCCGAACAGGCATTAAACCAGAATACGCGCTTTACTGTCGAGCGAGAGGCTGGTATCAGCCTCGTGAATTATTTGACTGCGTGCATGAGAGAAATGAAATACACCCACAAACCCAGCCCAAACCACCGAGGGCGAGGAGAGCACTGAATTATCGGGAGCTGAAGAAAATCCCTGTCAAGTTATCTCTGAATTTGAGAGCCACTTCAGGCGAAACCAAAACGCGGCAACCGTGTCTGTCTGAAATGGTCCACGGGATTCCCGGCAGAGCGGGGCACGCTGGGGTGGGGAGGGCCGGGACAGGGGGGCCAGGAGGCAACAACTTCTACAGGCTCGGCGCCGGGGGACTTTGGGGAGCGCAAGGCCCCCTCTTCCCTCCAGCCAGCGGCTCTGGAAAGCGCTCCCAGCCCTAACGCCCACTCCCAGCCCTAACGCCCGCTCCCAGCCCTAACGCCCGCTCCCAGCCCTAACGCCCGCTCCCAGCCCTAACGCCCGGCGGGCCCTGGGAAATGAGCGGTATTGCCCCTCGGAAAACGCAGCTGTCCCCCGAGGGCATGCCTGCTTTTTGTTGGTTGGCTTACGGGAGCCTGGGTGTATCTCCTATCTGTAGCCTGCAGGGACTCTGCCAGGGAAGACGCGGGGGCCTAGACACGCTCCTTGCTGAAACTTCATCTGTGCAGAAGCCCTTGGGGAATACGCGGGCTTGCGCCGGCCTCGTTGAGCTGCTGACCCCAGGGACTCCCTCCCGGACAAAGGGGAGGGGGCGTCTAGCTAGCAGCGGGGTCGAGGGAGTCTGGCTCGGCCTCTCTGGGGTACCATGACTCTGCAGCATTTGGAAGATCTGGGATAGAGTCGCCGGCTGGATGGAGAGGACCCGGGGGAAGCGCTGGGTCTGCGGAAGGGGGTACAGCTCCTAATCCGCCCCCGGCGGGGGCTCTCCGGGGGGGAGCGGGAGAGGAGGGCTGCAAGGAGGTCTCAAAAAAAATTGCAAAGAATTTTTTTGGGGCATGGCATGGGGGAGGGGGGCGGCAAGGGGAGAAAGAAAGGCGCCTCTGAGCACCACGAAGGGAAAGGGAGAAATAATGACCCTTCCCCCTCCCCCCAATAATAAGGCAGACCAGATGGGAGGTAAATAGTGCGTTTAGAAGCATTTGCCACAGATGGGCTGCCCTCAATGGAAGCATCCTCCAGCCACATCAATGCTGGAGTCTGTGTGTGCACAGAAAACACTGCACCCTTTAGAGCAGCGGCAGCAGCAGCAGCAGCAGCGGGGAGAGGAGGGGAGGGACGGGGAGGGG